TCATCAGCATCAGCAGCATCATCAACATCAACATCATCAGCATCATCATCATCCTCATCATCATCCTCATCATCATCATCATCATCATCATCACCATCATCATCATCAGCATCATCATCAGCATCACCAGCATCATCATCAGTAGCATCAGCATCATCAGCAGCAGCATCATCATCATCTTCCTCTTCCTCCTTTACGCATCCTTCTCATCCTCGTCCTCATCCGTCCTTGTGGAGATTCGAGACCGCGATGCGGGCGGCGAGGGTCGAGAAGTCGGGGTGTTTCTGGGACATGTACGCGCAGGTCTCAGCAGCGAGCACGTCGATCTCCTGGCTCTGCCGGAGGGGGAACTCGGAAATCCGCGACAAGATGCCAGAGGGCATCGTTGCCGGGGGTGTGCACTACGCTGAAGGCGCCATGCAGACCGCCAGAGGGGAACGGACGGGAGGAGGACGAGGAGGAGAAGGGAGGAGGAGGAGGAGAAAGAGGGGGAGGAGAAGGAGGAGGAAGAGGGGAAGGAGAAGGAGGACGGGGAGGAGGAGGAGGAGGACGAGGAGGAGGAGAAGAAAGAGGAGGAGCAGCAGCAGGAAGAGGATGAGGATGAGGAGGAGGAGGAGGTTCGACATGTCAGGTGCGAGGTTTATCCGAGGATTGCGCTTCGCTTGGTCCCGTGGGGGAGTTCGTCGCCACGGTTAGATCCGCTTCGACATTCTGGTCAAAACGCGCCCCAGCTGAGGTCCAGGGGTCGATGCGTGAGAAGGAAAGTAAAGGAGAAGCAGGAGGAGGAGGAGGCAAGGTGGCTTACTTCGAAGATTCTAGTTTCCCGCGAATGGAGTGCGGACCCCACCTGGCACCAGATGGCACAGAGGCAGAGCCGACGCTCCCTGCGGGTCCCCGCCTCCCCCCAAACGCAGGGGATGTCGAGCCCAGAGGAGGCCCCAGGGAGAGACGACCCTCCCCCAGTGCCTCCCCGAACCTCCGAGCGCGAACGAAGGACAGCTGGAGAACCCGACGAAGATGTCCAGCAGCATCCCGCCGCCGCCCTCAGGTGACCGAGCCACGCCACGTGCTCTCGACTCCCGCCGTGGGGAGCGGGGCGGCGGCGGAGGGACACCGCGGGCCCAGAACCTCGCCGTCGGCGCTGCCCGCAGATCTGGCCGAAATCGGCGCCCATCCATCTCTCGCCCAGGCCGGCCGCGTCGTGCGTGTCCTTTTTTTCCCCAAGAAAAGAGAGCCCGTCCACGGGCAAATCCGCTTCCCCTCAAGGGGGCTATACCCGTGCGGCAAGGCACGAAGGATTCCGCACCGATAGACGAAGGCGCACGCCCGACTAGATGTGAAACTACCTCCTGAGAACGGCCTGGATTCGAGCATCCCACGCCGATGCGCGTCGCCGCGTCGTGCGTATCCAGAAGCGTTCCGCCGATGCGACCCTCTCCGCGGAGGAGAGCCGACGTGGCGTCCCGCTTGCGGCCCGCGGTCGCCGCGGGCTGCCCGCCCTCGCCCGGGCTTTTTCCTTCGCGCAGCTTCCAGTAGCTAACGCGCCCGCGCCTCCCCCCGCCCTCCTTTAGGGAGGGCTGACCCCCCCGTCATCTCACCCCCCACTGCTCCTGCTTGTTCCCTCCGGCCCTCATCCTACTCCTCACCTCTACCTCCTCCTGCCCTCCTCTCCTCCTCCTCCTCCTCCTCCTCCTCCTCCTCCTCCACCTCGTTTATTCCTCCTCCTCCTTCTCCTCCTCCTCCTGCTCCTCATGTGTTCCTCCTCCTCATGCTCATCATTTGTTCCTCCTCCTCAATTCCTTCTCCGTATACATAACTCATCCCTGTCGCACCCCGAGGCCCGTTTTTAGGGCGGGCCGGGCGTTTCGCCTGAGACTTTCTCACCAAGTATGACTCTAAGCTAAAAAAGTGACAACAGCTTGACAGATAGAGGGCGGGTCGTTTTCAAAATGTGGCTCTCGCCTTAGCTCCGCGCACTTTTACTCAAGCTCTGCAAGAGAATTTAAGGATTGAGGGCGGGGGGGGGTTCAAAATGAGGCTCTCGCCTTAGCGCCGCGCACATTTCAAAATTTGCAAGAGTGTCACGGATTGAGGGCGGGTCGTTTTCAAAATGTTGCTCTCGCCTTAGCGCCGCGGCGCACATTCGTTTCAAAAAAATGCAGAAGTCTCACGAATGGAAAGCGGGTCGTTTTCAACATGTGGCTCTCGCCTTAGCGCCGCGCACATTCGTTTTAAAAATGTGACAGAGCTTCACAGATAGAGGGCGGGTCGTTTTCAATGTGCTGCTCTCGTCTTAGTGCCGCCCACATGTTCTCAAGCTTTGCAAGAATTCCACGGATTGATGGCGGTTCCTTTTCAAATGTGGATCTCACCTTAGCGCCGCACATTCGTTTTACAAGAGCTGCACGGATTGAGGGCGGCTCCTTTTCAACATGTGGCTCCCGCCTTATCGCCGCGCACAATATTTCTCCAAAGCAAGAGTTTCACAGATTGATGGCGGTTCCTTTTCAAAATGTGGCTCTCGCCTAAGCGCCGAGCACATTCGTTTTAACAGTTTGCACAGTTTCACGGGTTCGCATGATCAACGTACCAAAACGAGGTTTGGGAAAGTTTCAGGAATATGCGGGTGCAACCGTTATGTTGATTCGGGATATTCATATCAATGAACAACGTTGAGGCACCATTCCGGATCGCCAAAACCAAACAGTCAGGTTGATACTTGGCGTTGAAATCCCAAGAACAATGTTTTGGCATGCTCTAGGATATACAAAAGGTGTCTTCCAACGAGGAAGTTCCCTCAATGGAAACGAACCGTTGTAGGGGCCTATGAAAAGGGAGCTTGGAGATAGGGTGAATTCCAACATCGTTGATGAATATTGGGTTTACACTGGTCCTCCTGCTCCTCCTCGTCCTCCTCCTTCTTTATTCCTCCTCCTCATCTTTTTGTTACTCCTCCTCCACCTCCCCTTCCTCCTACTCCTCCTCCTCCTCCTGCTCCTCCCCCTCCTCCTCCTCCTCCTCCTCCTCCCTCCTCCTCCTCCTATCCTCATTCCTCCACTCTCTACCCCCCATCCTCTCCCCTTCGCCTCCTCCTCATTCTCCGCCCCTCCCCCTCCCTCCACCACCTACAACTCCCACTTCCACCTACTCCACCTACACCTCCACCTCCACCTCCTCCTCCTCCTCCTCCTCCTCCTCCTCCTCCACCTTCACCTCCACCTCCACCCCCGCCTCCTCCTCGTCCGCCTGCTTCTCCTCCTCCTCCTCATCATCATCCTCCTCCTCTATTCCTCTTCCTCATACATAAGTCCTCCCTGTTGCATCCCGAGGCAAGTGTTTAGAGGGGGCCTGGCGTTTCGCCTGAGAATTCCTCACCGTTTATGATCCTGAAGCTTCAAAATTGGCAACAATTTCACAGATGCAGGGCGGGTGATTGTCAAACTGCGGCTCTCGCCTTAGCGCCGCACACATTCGTTCTAAAAATAGGTGAGAGCTTCACGGATTGAGGGCGGGTGGTTTTCAACATGTGGCTCTCGCCCTAGCGCCGCGCAGAGCCTTTTCAAAAATTGCAGGAGCTTCACGGATGGAGGGGAACCCGTTGGCTCTCGCCTTAGAGTCGCGCACATTCGCTGACGAAATCTGCAAATGTTTCACGGATGGAGGGCGGCTCCTTTTCAAAATGTGGCTCCCGCCTGAGCGCCGCGCAGATTGGCTTGAACCGTTTACAAGAGTTTTACGGCTTTCCATGATCAAGGTCAAGGTACCAGAAATGGTTGTTGGGCGGATTCATGATCATGAGGGCGCAACAGATACGTTCATTCGCGATGCTGAAGTCCCAAGAGCGACGTCCTGGCACGACTCCAGATCGTGAGAACGCAACAGTCAGGTTGATCCGTGGCGTTGGAATCCCGAGAACGATGTTTCGGCATGCTTCAGCGTCTTCAAACTGTTGTCTTCCAACGAGGCAGTTCCCTCAATGGAAATGAATCGTTGTAGGGGCCTATGCAGAGGAGCTTGGAGGGAGTGTTAATTCCAACATCGTTGATGACTCTTGGGTTTACACTGGTCCTCCTCCTCCTCCTCTTCCTCGTCCTCCTGCTCCATTATCATTCCTCCTCCTCCTCCTCCTCCCCCTCGTCCTCGTACGCATCCTCCTCATCCTCCTCCTGCTCCTCCTCCACCTCGTGTACTTCTCCTCCTCCTCCTCCTCCTCGTCATCATCATCAGCATCAGCATCGTCAACATCCTCATCAGCATCATCATCATCATCATCAGCAGCATCATCATAATCCTCCCCGTCCATTCTTCTTCACCCTGCTCATCCTCCTCCTCCTCCTCGTCCACTCTTCTTCACCATCCTCCTCCTCATCATCATCATCCTCCTGCGCCTCCTGTATTCCTACTCCTCGCTCTCCTCCTCCTCCTCCACCTCCTGCTCCTCCTCCTCGTCGTCCTCCTCCTCATCACCATCATGTGACATCAGCATCATGAGCAGCAGCATCATCATCGTCGTCATCATCAGCATCATCATCATCATCATCGCCGTCATCATCAACATCAGCATCATCATCACCATCATCAGCATCATCATCACCAGCATCCTCATCAGCAGCATCATCATCAGCATCGGTAGCATCATCAGCATCAGTAGCATCGTCATCATCCTTAGCATCATCATCCTCCGCTTCCTGTATTCCTACTCCTCGCCCTCCTCCTCCTCCTCATCATCATCATCGTCCCCATCCTCCTCCACCGTCTTCCGATGATTCGTACCATGATTGTTCTTAGTATGATTCGTCTTATGATCAGTAGTAATATTAGTATGGTTATCATTGTTAGTAGTACTCGTAGTCGTCTCATTACTATTAGCATTATGACTATTCTAGATAGTGTAGTCATGTTCTATTATTGTTGTTATTACTACTACCAGTAGCCTTCGTAGTATTATTAGTACCCATATCATTATTCATAGTATCACGCGTCTTATTATTCATGTGATTAATATTATTAGTAGTATATTACTACTCGTCTGCTTAATACTATTGTTCGAAATCATGTTCGTATTAGTGTTATGCTTATGCGTAATCGTATTCCTCTTCCGATGATTGTTCTTCATCAGCATCAGCATCATCAACGATGTCGTCAGCATCATCGTCGTCATCATCAGCCGCATTATCATCAGCATCATCATCAGCATCATCCGCATCATCATCATCATTGTCATCATCATCATCATAATCATTATCAGCATCCACCTTTATTCCTCCTCCTCACCCTTTAGTATTCCTCCTTCTCCTCCTCCACCTCCTCCTGCTCCTCCTCCTCCCCCTTTATTCCTCCTCCTCGTCCTTTCCTCCTCTTCCTCTTCCTTCTGTATTCCTCCTCCTCGTCCTCCTCCTCCTCAACCTGTATTCCTCCTCCTCGTCCTTTCTTCCTCTGCCTCCTCCTCTTCCTCCTCCTCCACCTCCTCCTCCAATCATTTTCCTTATAAGTAACTCCTCCCAGTCGCACCCCGAAGCCAGACGGAAGGGCGGGCTGGACGTTTCTGCGGAGAATTCCTCACGCTTGTGATCCTGAAGCTTGAGAATTGACAGCAGCGTCACAGATGGAGGGCGGGCCGCCTCCAAAATTTGGCTCTCGCCTTAGCGCCGCGCATTCTCGTCCTGAAGATGCGCGAGAGTTTCAAGGATTGAGGGCCTTAGCGCCGCGCACATTCGTCTAAAGAAATTGCAAGAGTTTCACGTGTCCGATGGTTAACATATCAGAAACGGTGTTTTGGAACGACTCAGAATCGTCAGGGCGCAACAGTTGGGGTGATTCTCGGTGTCGAAGTCCTAAGGAGGCGTGCTGGCACCATTCGTGATCGCCAAGACGCAACAATCAAGATGATTCGTGGCGTCGAACTTCCGAGAATGATGCTTTGGCACGCTTCAGGACCTTTTAACGGCTTTCCCAACGGGGCACTTCCCTGAGTGGAAATGAACCCTTGTAAGGGCCTACGCAGAGGGAGCATGGAAGGAGGGCTTGCTCCGATATCGTTGGTGAGCCTTGGGATTGCACTGGTCCTCTTCCCCCTCCTCCTCCTCCTCCTCCTCCTCCTCCTCCTCCACAGAACCAAAAACCGGCATAGACCTAAACCTTCGGCGCTCCGCACAGATTTCTTGGATCTGCGCCAGAGCCCCCTCCCTGGCGCGCGGAGCACGCCAGGGGCGGCGCCAGAGGCGCCGCCAGGGAGGTCCCAGCGCGGATCCAAGAAGTCCGCGCGGAGCGCCGAAAGTTTATGTTTATGGACTTTTTGTTCTTCTTCGATTCTCCTCCTCCTCCTCCTCCTCCTCCTCCTCCTCCTCCTCCTCCTCCTCCTCCCCCTCTTCGACAAAACGCTAACTAGCAGCCATGAGAGCCGGCTGACCTGCCCCACCAGGAGCCACACAGACAGTCTGCCCACGCAAAAGCGGGCGCCGATGTATCTGCAGAGGCGTGCTCTGGTGCACCGGCTCGGGCGTCTGCAGGCTGGCGGGTCTGCTTCGAGAGCTCCAGAAAAGATGGAGAATTGTGATTTGTGTCCTGGCCCCTCGGGGGCCCCGTGGGCGGGACCGGGGCGCGCCCCCACCCCCGAGGCGCGGCGGTCACCGATCGGGGGGTGGTGTCCCCATCCGGTCGACACCTGCCGTTGCGCGGCTCTCGTCGAACATGCTGCTTCGGGGGGGGAGGGGGGCCCGTGCCCCCCATCAGCACCCCCTTCGCCTGGCGTCGGGCCGAGTCGGGCCCGTGCGGGCTGCTTAAGGCACAGCTTGTTCGAAGCAGCGTCCCTCTGCATTCCGCCACTCTGCCTGTCCTCCCCGCTCGCGGCTGCACTCTGTCCAGAGGCAGCGCAGACAGAAAAGCACGAGCAGGAAAGAGAGAGGAGCAAACAGAGGGCCACGAGAGGGGGTGAACGAGAAAGATGGTAAGGGTAGGGGAGGAGGGAGAAAGCGGTAGAGGAGCACGAGGAGGGGGAAATGGGGGAGAAAGAAGAGGCAGAAACTCTTTCCGTGCAAGCTAACCCGCGGCTCCGACGTAGAGATACCCGCATAGAAGCCCTCGATCACCTGCGGTCAATCAAGTCGTTTCTTCATGCCAGCTACCGCGCATGACGTCAGCACCCGAGCAGCTAAGAAATCACAGAGGACGAGGAGTAGGGTGGACAAGGAGGCGCCTAGAGGAAGTGGGCGACGGAGGAAAACAGTGCGAGTGCCTCTGCTTCAGGACCTGCGTCTTTGATGCATATCACTTATCCCAAACCCCAACCCCCGGGCCCCCCACCCACGCACCCATCACCCATCTCAAGAGGAGTCAAACAGCAACGCGCTACGAGCGACGTCGAAAGGTGCAGAGGTGGTGGGAGATTCAAGGACGCGACGAAGACAAAGGAATTGCAGAAATATAAGGACAGGGAGAGATATACACATGTGTACATACATCAGCCACAGTGCCACTGGGCACGGACTGGGCGTATCCTCAGATCCTGTGCCCCAAGAGGCCCACGAGAGGCCCCAAGAGGCCCCCAAGAGGCCACAAAAGGCCCCCAAGAGGCTCCCAAGAGGCCGCCAAGAGGCCCAAAAAATGTCCCCAAGAGGCCCCCGAGAGCGCTCCGAAGAGACCCCGAGAAGGCTCGGTTGCGGGATGGGCCGATTGCCATTAAATATTCTAGATAGAGAGAGAGAGAGGGAAAATACAGAAAGATGATGCTGCGAAACTAAGCACAGATGGTGGGAAAGCGCCTGACAGAAAACACACAATGGAAAACGTTCCTGACATGGGATAGGCACCGACGTATACAGGAGACAAATGCAGGACACAGATGCGGAAATTACAGATACAGAGCTGAGAGAGAAGAAGCGAAAGAAAGAGAGAGAGAGAGAGAACATGAGAAAGAAAGGGGATCGGGAGACAGTGAGAGAGAGAGAGAGAGAGACGACAGACTAGAGACGAGACAGAGAGAGAGGGAGAATGAACGAGACAGAGAGAAACAGATGGGATACATAGAGAGAGAGCGAGAAAGAACGAGAAAGAAAGAGGGAAGAGTGAGGCGAGAGAAGAAAGAGGAACGTATCGGATTCCGTATCCTACCTCTTCCCCACAATCCGCAACCTGTCTTTCTGTGTCGCTAACATTCCCGTATGAGTCAACGTCGTCAATGTCAGTACTTTTAGAATTCTCCCTTCCCGCTCAGCTATTGTCTGTTATGTCCCTGTGCCTAGTCTAATGACCAACGCTTCGCGGCCTTCTGCGTGATAGGCACTGGGTCCACGTACTTGGCGTCCAGGCCATTGCACAGCGCCTCAATTGCGTCACTTCATGTTTGCGCGCCGCTTCATCGATACGCCTCCAGCCCACCTTCCTGGTTAAACACCTGACCCTTCTTCCATGCCGTCGTCTCCAGCATCGGACTGAACAGACGCGTGCCCACCTCGCCACCACCGAACTTGAGATGTCATACTCCGACATTCATCCGTCTGCCCTTACACGCCACCTTCCAGGCCGCATGAGACTTTGCACTCCCTCCCTGTCCATGTGTCGTTCCTTCCCTCTCTCCCCGCTTCCCTCCCTCCCCTTCACTCCCCCGTGCCTGCCTCCATTCTTCCCCTTACCTCCCCTCTCGTTCTCTCACTCACACCCGTCCTCCTTCCCGCCTCCCTCCACGGTTCTGCATCCCACCCACTGCCCTCCCTCCCATTCCCTCCCGCCTCCCAGCCTCTTACCTCCGCCGATCGCTAGTGTTAAGTCGGGCCTGTCTCCCTACAGGCCCACTGTGGACGAAAAACAGGAATTGTCAAAAAACTGCCCTCAACTATTCGAAAATGGTCCACAAAATCGTCCCAGGCTATTGTTTGACTATCTTTGAAGTCCTCCTGCAGAGGGACGGGGCCCGACTTGACGCTGGCGGCCACCGCCGAGCCAGCGCGCGAGCCGAGCACGACAAGGCCCTTGCGGGAGCAGCAGACGCGCGGAGAGCGAGCGGCGAGGAGTGCGGGAGGGCCCTCCCCGTCTCCCACTGCGCCGACCTTCTCGCCTCCTTCTCCTCCAGCTCCTGCTCCTGCTCCTGCTCCTCCTCCTCCTCCTCCTCCTCCTACTCCTCCTTCCTCTCCTCCTCTCCTCATCCTCCTCCTCCTTCCTCTCCTCTCCTCCTCCTTCCTCTCCTCCTCCTCCTCCTCCTCCTCCTCAGTGTCCTCTTCCTCCTCCTCTGCCTCCTTCCTCCTCCTCCTCTCCCTACCTCCTCATCCTCCTCATCTCCTCCTCTCCTTCTCCTCCTCCTCCCTCTCCCCTCCTTCCTCATCATCCTCCTCCTCCTCCTCCTCCTCCTCCTCCTCCTCCTCCTCCTCCTCCTCCTCCTCCTCCTCCTCCTCCTCCTCCTCCTCGCCGCCCCCCCCCCAGACCCCTGGCGTCGCGGCAAAATCACGAGGCCTCGGTGGTCGAGGATTGAAAATCGAGGGCCGATTCTTGAGGAGAAGGAGGAGTGCAGGAAGGGCCCTCCCCATCTCTCACTGCGGCGACCTTGCAGACGTGCTGCAGCGGATTCCCGCGTGGAGCTCTGTCATCCCAAAATCCCGACACGGCGAGCGATAAACGAAGTGAGTTTCATTTCACGTGGATGTTTTTGTTTGTCTTCCTTCCTGGCCCGCAAAAAAAACGCACGAAATTGGCCTCGAAATCAGGAACGAAACTCTCCAGGACACTCCAGGCCCATCCTATCGTTTTCCGTACGAAATCCGCTCTGCGATGCTGGCACCATGACATCTCGAGGCAGGAAAGCAGAAGGAAATCTTCAACAAATCGATGATGTTGCACACTGTTCCACTTCCCGTGAACCGCGAACTTGTCGCTGTTGGTCCCTGGGCTATCTCAAGCACTCAACCAACCAATATGTGCGTGTGTGTGTGCCCCCTGTCTGAACCGGCGCGCACGTGCACCAGCCTAGGTTTCGGCCGCCGTGCTTCACTTACTCCGCCGCCTCGCCGCG